GAGCCGAGCGCTGTCCGGGGTGCTGGACGGACCCCTCCTTCCTGCTTGGTCGCCAGAGGGCCGTTGAGGAGGGGTCGGGGCAGCCTGGACAGGGGCTTGGCCCGCGCCTGTGTGTGGCATCCAGAAGACCACGGCCACCATCTGCGGAGCGCTCACTGCGTGCTGAGGCTCAGGGTCCTCGCGTCCAGGAACGTCTCGAGAGTGCTAATCGTGAGCATAAAGCCAGACCCCTATCTCCCCGACTTGCCTGAGGCTGGCATGCCTGTGGCTAGTTATCATTTGTCTCTTAGTTTGAGAGAGAACTCTGTAGATCCCCACACACCCCCGGGTCACAGGCCTGGATTGATCGCCTCTGCTCCTCCTCCAGTGCCCTCCTCCTTGGGGACAGACTGAGGGGAAAGCGCCGGGCCTAGGGCTCCTCCCTGGACAGCCCTGCCAGATCCGCAGAGCAGACCTTGAAGACGACGGATTGGAGACTAACGCCCGTGGGAGCCTCTGTGACACCTGATTTTCAGTCTTTCTGCTCCATCCCTGCCTGTTGCTGTAAAGGATTCCAGCCACATAAACCGAAGTTCCCTCAGCCAAAGGATTCTGGGGTTGCTGGTTACGTGGGAGAAGTGGTCACTTAGCACCAGGGGAAGTACCCTGGTGATGTGCACCTATATTCCTAGCACTCTGAACCCAGCCTGGACAGCTGGGAAATTTATCAAGACCCTGTCTCAAAATAAACAATAAAAAAGGCCCGGGGATGTAGCTTGGGACAAAAGGCCAAGTCCAATCACCAGCCTGCAAAAATGAAAAAAAAAAAAAAAAAAAAAAAAAAAAAACACTCAGTTTCCCCTGCTGTAAAATTGGGCTGATAGCTGTAGGGAGTAAACATCCAGGGGAAGCTTGCTAGTGTCACTGCTGGCGGACTCCGTAGAGGACTCCAGAGGGCCCAATGGAGACCCCTGAGAGGTCAGAGGGGCCTGGCAGAGCACTGGCAGCCTGAGTTTGATGGCACCCCAACCTCCTGGAAGTAGAACCTAGACCTCCGGAGCAAGCCCATGCAACCAGGTGGAAGTTGTCAGAAACACACCGGGCCACAGAGGGCACAGGGCTTGGGTTCTGAAGGCACCTGGGAGGTCACCAGAGGTCACCATGCAGACTCAGGCAGGCAGCAGCCTGCACAGAAGACAGACAGGACTCCAGGAGTTTTGGAAATAGCTTCACGCTACAGCACATCCAGTGCAGCCCTGTGCCAGCCTGGGCCAGGAGATGGTGACACAGCCAGATGGGGCTGGGCTCCCACAGGGCCTGGTGTGGGTGGCGTGGGCTGTGAGAGGCAGGAGACAGGTTGTGCCAAGGGCACAGATATCCATGGCGCTCCCACAGCCTAAGCTGATTGCTGCAGCTCCCTCTCCTGCCCAGCGGGCCTGGCTCCTCCATTTCTCACCGGGCCTTGCCTGTGTGCCCTCTGGAGCCTTCCCGTGTCCTTTCTTGGGGTCGTGGGGCCCTCTCTGGTTTTGACGTCTTCCTAAGGCCCTTGCCCTCACAGCCCCAAACCTGAGATCGAGTCCCCCAGTCCGGGACATCGGCCCTGGAACTTGAATCTTCGGCCCACAGTGCCAATGGTCCCGGGCACTCCGCCCTCCCTCCTTTGCCTTCTCCCTCCTGGGGATCTGAGTGGCCTTGGGTCTGGAGTGGCCCTTGGGATCTGCCCCTGTTCCGGGCCTTTGTCTTCGAAGTTCCCCCACCCAACATATCCCTTGTTAACACTCAAAATCCAGCCTGCTTACAGCGCCCTTTGCACGGAGGCCCTTTCCGGCATGAACAGCTCCGCCTTCCCGCCCCGCTGTCCTGTTCTCCTGGTACTTGTGCCCTCTGGAGTCACCACGGTTGTTGCTGGTTTGTGCCCCCAGAGCAGCTCCGAACGGCCCTGAGCACGGGACCACTGTCCAATTCTAACCCAGTTTTGCTTAGTTTTTTCCTGGGGCGGATTAGGAAAGCAGACCGGGTACCCTCGTCGCTGTCGCCGGAGGGCGGGCTGGCGGGGCGGGGAGGAGGGCGGCGC